CACTTGATTGGATGTCTGCATGGTTGCACAGTCACGAACAAAGGTTGCCTTAACTGTGCGTCCACCCTTTTGTTCCAACATACAAACATGCAGTGGGAGGCATGGGGGGCTGCGGGGAGTTGGGGCACAAATACAGACAGTCACACGTTAAATTGCAGAAGACCCTAAATGCCTGGGGAGTATTTTATCGAGGCAGTGACAAGGGGGTGAATTGTTTGCCCTGCCTTGAAATTGTGACCTAGTTTTCTGTGAATGTGTTATTCTAGTGAGCCGCGACTTGCTCATCATGTAAAGAACCAGGGGCACATTCTTTTTTTTGTGTGATTCACCCAGGCAGGCAATACAGAGATGACTTCAGTCCAATTGAATAGGTACATGACAAATAGGGGCGGCCTATAACACACATAAACATGCTGACCGTGCACGCAGTCTTTGTAGGACAGGGAGAAGGTGCAGGAAACCCCCTATGACTGTGACAAAAAGGCTCAGAGCTCCGACCAGGCCGTCCTAAAATAGTCCCAGCATCAAAACGAGATCTGGGAATAAGTCCTGTGAAAGAGACTTCTGGCTTGGATTATGTATTTTGTTCCGTGGCCAGGAATTTATGTGGTCTGTGAGGGTTGGAACAGTTAGCAGATTTTTTTTGGAAAGTCACTGTTGTAAAACAAAAACTCTCTGTACTTTGTGTGACTGCGAATCTTGATCTCAAACATGTCAAGACCTGATTGAGCACGTTTCTGTGTTTTTGTTACCTAGCCAGGAATAGATGCAAACGATGCAATTAGAAGTGTTAGTTGTGTGAAAGCAAGCCAGGTGTCTGAGATCCAGCTGAAGAGCAAATCCTGCAAGACATAACAGATGCAACATTTTCCAGATTTATGTAAAGCTGAACTAACCAGCGTTTAATGTAAACAGTGGGTCAAAAAACTAAATGTATGAGAAACCACATTAATCAGAAAAGACTGGCGCGATCCGGCCTGATTGAAATTAATTTTCAATCAAGTTTAGAGTGGTCGTATTAACATTTCAAAATCCTTTTAATAGGAAAATACCAGCACCTAATATCCATGTAAACGCCTCATCCAATTGTTTATATCTAGTTGCAATAAATAATTTCTTTCTGTGCATATTTGCCCCATGTTGGGGTAACAGTAGGTGACGTTGTGCAGTGTGTACACTGCACAGGACAGGCTACAACAGCTGTTTCTATGTGCCTTCCCCTACTGATTTTAAAAGAGAATTGTTAATACATTTAAAACACACATAGCGCTCTGCTAGTGCTACGTTCTTATGTGAGTTTGATTGTGAAACAGTAGCTTTATGTAGCATTGTTACATGCTGCAATGTGGAGTTGCTGGACATAATCATCTATCGCTACCAGTAGCAGTAGCCTGTCTATGAGACGTTTAGGTAATACTGGTAAATTGGAACCTCTGCTGATAAATCTGCATGCGAGCTGCTTAGGTGACATCTGTAATTAGTAGCTGCAGAAAATAACCTGGGTTACACTTACATTTCTCAGCATGAAATTGTATTAACAGACGGAGCCACTTCTTCCTCTTTTATACTTTTAAATATTGAATGAATACAAGTTTGTCAATAAGGTTGGGAAAAAAACTGAATCTTCTTCTGTTATATTTCCTGCAGATTAGATGCTTCACAGTGGGCGAAACCACTTTGTGCAAGCCAAAATGTTCTGATTAAATGCTTCAGGGCATGTAATATCAGATCGCGCATGTGAACAATTCAGCTGGAGTCTCTAACTAATATGTTTCAATCAGATTAAAGGAATACTGTACATGTAACTGCAGCTAATGCTCTAATTAACCTCGTTTCCAGCTATGGCAGCTAGCTAGCTGTGATAAACACACTATGAACTACCTTCCCAGCACCAAATTACAGACAGACAAAGTTTGCGACAACCTGGTGAACATAGTGGAGCATTTAGCAGCAAGAGAGCCGAATACTTTCTCAAACCAGACCTAAAAGAAGAGTGAATATGAGACTAACATTTTTCAGGTGGCCAGAAACACAAATGAATGCTAATGTTGATATGGCTGATATCAGCTTTCTAATTGTCTTGTTAAATTGGCAAAAACAAAACTATTTATGCAGGTTTAAGGACAAACGTTGCAACCAACACTTAATGCTGGGTTTGTAGAAAGGCAGCATACTCATGTGTAGATGTATAGCAATTTAAACTCTTACACTGCATCTAAAGCATGTTCTGGTGTTATTGTGTGTACTTGTGTGTGTGTCTGTGGCAGTATGTAGATGTGTATATGCAGGTAGGCTCCACAGAGTGTGTGTGCATGTATATAAGAGTTTGTGTAAGTGAGATTGCTCTTTAGTCAGCTCGGCAACAAACTCTGCCCACACATGGCTTCACTCCTCCACATTCAGACACAGTGATGAGTCACATGCTCCATTCTTACACTTTTGTTCTCACAGTATCTTACATAGGGATATACTGACTCTTATCTCTCTGTGTCTCACACACACACACACACACACACACACACATATACACACACACTAACACACACATGGAGTGGAGAACTTTCTTCTTTGAGTCTGCTTCAACAAAAGATTGACATTGTTAAGAGATAAAGACATATTTTAAGTGTATCAAGTTTCCTTAGACGTCCCACTCCAGTGTGTCTCATAGAACGTCTTGTCCTGACATTGAACTTTGGGAAGTTGATGAACTCTCCAGCAACCTCTTTATGTCAACAGTGCAGGAACCAGGCCTGCGTGTGACATCAGCAGAATTGTCCCAGTGCATTCTCATCAAATGGCTGCCACTCAATAGGTGACCACAGGACATGGGGCGTGTAATGAGCCAAGAGGTGATGAGTGGAGACGAGACGAGAAAGGAGGGAGAGCAGAGGAGTTGAGTGTGAAAAGAAAAGGAAAACTTGAGGAACATGCTGAGATGTCAATGCTAATAATGTTACTCTCGTAGTGTTTTGTGGTGCTTGAGAGTTAGCATGTTAACACGCTAAACTAAGATGGTAACCATGGTAAACATTACACCTACTAAATAAACACCAGCATGTTAGCATAATCTCTGTGAGTGTGTTACCATGCTGATGTTAGGATTTAGCTCATAGCACCTCTGTGCCTAAGTACAGCCTCACAGAGCTGCTTGACTGGAGACTCTTATATTTTCCTGTTGATATTTTTTCCGCTTTTATGCCCCTAAATTAAACATATAGCATATTATTAATTATGTATATGGTTGTCACGTTCCTCACATTAAAGCTGGGGTAGGCAGTTTCATCAACTCAAGTGGTCTGACAGAAAACCAGACTTCTGCACTTCCTCTTAGCTCTGTTTTGGGGCTTTAGAAAATCCAGCTCCTGCTTGAGACGTTGGCCAATCATAGGTCATTTCAGCAAGTGCAGATGTGCTTGCAGTGAAAGCCTGATTCAGTAGCGGAGAATCCGGCACAGAAAGTTACTATTCCAGCATTAACAACAACTGCCTACACTGCAGAGCAACTCAAACAGGGAAGACAGACTTATCGAAAACGGAGTCTGAGAGAGAGTCTGACAATAAACAAAATCAAACTTGTGTCAATATTGGCGAAGCGTTTCAGAGATGGAGAGAAAATGTTGCTAATAGTTTAGCCTTCTGCTAACCACCTACTGTGGCTTCATGTTCTTTTTTATGTAGCTAATCACAGTGTGTCCTCTGCCTCACTTCCTGCCGCTATGGACAGTCTCACAGGTAGGAGAGTGGGCTGCAGCTCCAGGGATGGACCCTTAGTCAGCAGCTGCAACAACCTGAATCCAGCCAGTGCAAACCCCAGCTCCGGGGGACCTAACAGCCCCAACTAGCAGCCGGTTCCACAAACTTTCTGTTGCTGCTGTTACACAAGTTAAACCTGGCACTGCTGTTGGCCACCAGCTTGCTGTGACATAGCAAGGGGGTTTGCACTGGCCAGATCTGAGTAGCTACAGCTACCAACTAAAGATCCGTCTGCCGAGCTGCTGCCTACTCTCCTCCTGGCTTATCAGTCCACAGTGGTGGGGAGTGAGGCGGAGAGACTGTGGCTAGTTAGCTAATTCTAGTCTCATTTGTGGTCTGGTAAACAAAAACAGAGGAGTAAGGGGGGGCTGAGTGAACACAATGGAATAGGATTAAATCAATCAATCAGTGTATAGGAAACACTGGTTTACTATATGAAGTATGTGCATGTGCCTGTGGTCATATGTTGGGAGGGTCTTAGAACAGAGAGAGGGGAGAGCTGCAGGAGAGGGCTGTATTTTCAAAATTTGCCTTTTTTTCCTTTTTCGGTCTTTTACAGATGTCTGCCTTAAAGGGACAGTTCACCTCAAAATACAAAATACATATACACAACACAAATACACAAATGTACAGGAAATAGCTTTCATAAAACCAACTTCTCTCTCTACAGCACTCAAATCAAAGCATGAAACGGGGTATGAATTGGCCACTACTCAACTAGGGGGCAGTGTCTTCATTTGTTCAACATATATAGGAGCTCATGTACCCTCACCCTAAAATGAAGCTTCAAAGCAGCAAGTTTGGAAATGACCTACAGTGTAATTAATCTAAAATGGCATTGAACTAAACAAAGTAGAGAAATGATACATGTTGTTCAGGTAGTATGAAATATCATATTCTGGGCCTCTGAGACACTGAGCTGATGATTTAGTCAGTTGGTACCTGAGTCATCTAGTTCAGCAACAAGATAAGAAGAACATTTGCAAATGTGGAGACATAACTTCCATGTAAACAGACGACTTCCACCCCCACGTTTTCACCCAGTGCACCACTGAGGAAAGCATCTCCCAGTGTGCCCATGATAGATCGCTGGATCCTTTTACACAACCAAAGCAGTGTTCTTGAGAAGGCTGAGAAGTTACCAACAACAAATAAAGGATACAGGGTAAAAGAGAAAGTACTAACATCTGTTTATAATGATCCAAGTAAAGAAAGAAAAGGCTCATTATTGTTTTTTTTTCTCACAGATATTCAAGAGTGTTACGAGGTGACCTTGCAACTGAACACAGAACAAACTGTTGTTAAAGAGGACAGCAGGCAGAATGCGTGGGAGGTAATTTTGCTTCTTCACATTATAGATCGGAAAAAGATATTCTTAATGTTTACGTTGTATCTGGTGTCACACATGCTGTGTGTCATGCTTTGCCTCCTCGGCTGCGCAAAAAGGTTACCCGGCATCCAAACATGAGGTGTCACTACCTGTGTCCCTCGCACTCCTACATAGAGAAAATGTTAGCATGAGTCATGGCGGCTATGACTTCAACCTGGTGAGTGAGTGTCAGGTGGGGATAAAAGTTTGAGCGAGGTGACACACGGGTAGAGGGGAGCAGAGGAAATGTGTTTGCTGTCACAGGTTATTTAGAATATTTTTAATGTAGGACACAAAATACAAATGACTCAAAGGGAGAAAAGCTGCATTTTGTTTAGCTTTAAAGAGACAGTTCACCCCAAAATAAAAATTTCCCTCTTACCTGTAGTGCTAATTATCAGTCTAGATTGTTTTGGTGTGAGTTGCCGAGTGTTGGAGATACCAGCTGTAGAGGTGTTTGCCTTCTCTTCACTATGATGGAACTAAATGGCACAGCAACGTCTCTTTCCAGAAATCATAATCTGGTTACGCAAGATAATCCACAGACCTTGTTGTGAGCCGTTTTGTATAGGAACTGTTTTCTTTCTACCGAACTTCAACCGCCCACTGTATTACCGTGCAGAAGAAAGCATGCATCTACTGCTAGCTCACCTAGCACCTTAGAGCTAGCTTAAGGCCCAGACACACTAAGCAGATGCCTTTGGTGAGCATCTGTCACTCTAGTTTTTGTGATGTTCTGCACCACTGGTCCTTGTCAGGCCATGTTGGCCCTTGTTGGCTTTTATTCAGCTGATTCAGCATGTTGAATCATCGTCATCACTCTGATCGGCAGTTCAGCTCAGTGCATGAGAGAAGAAATGGAACTGAGGAACATAAACAAAAGGCTAAAGTCAAGAGGGAGTGAGATAAAAACAAACTTGTTAGAAAGGGTAAGGTCGTATTTTTAGCCATTGAACTCTTAAGCAGAAATGGTTAGTAACCGTTTGCGTCATTGTCTGCTAGCACACAGTAAATATCCTTTGTTCCTTTAACATTAGGCCCGTTTCCACCGCAGGAACTTCGGGGTAATTTTACGGGGCCGGGGCCATTGGTGCGTGTCTCCACCGCAGGAACCACCCCCGAAGGACAGAGTTCCGGAACTTTTACAGGGGCTAAACAAGTCCCTGCCTCGGGGTAGGTACTCAGAACGGCCCCAAAAGACTCCTGGCTGGGGCTTGGGGATTACTTGGTGCTGATTGGATATACTCAAGGAGGGATGTGACGACAACAGAAAGCAACAAAATAGCCTGCATTTTTAAAACTCAGCAGACGAGGGTTAGCTTGTTCATATAGCTTCCGCCGCCATCTAAAAAAAACTCACTAAATGGCCTGTGAAAAAAATATTTTTTCCAGAGGATATCTTAGTTACAACATGATTGAGCTAGCAAAGCAGTTTTGTGTTGATATGTGTGGTATTTATTCAGTTATGGGAAGTCACGATGTCTAGAAAGCATCAGCTACATCAGGACGTCATCTGTTAAAAGCCTCCCGTTGTCGGATACGACATGAAACTACTCCAGTTAGCTCAATCATGTTGTAACTAAGACATCCGCTGGAAAAAATATTTTCTTCACGGGCCATTTAGTGAGTTATTACAGACACCGCTATCGGCTAACGGCGTCCCTACGTCGCCCCGGCCAAAATGGTCGCGCAACGATTACGTCACATCCAGAGGCAGCCTGTAACTTTACAGGAACCTTCGTACTCTTCTCTCTCAGTGGAGACACGGCGGTTGAAAGGGCCGAGCGAGAGGACGTTCCTGTAGTAGTTCCTGCCCCCCAAATAGTACCAGGAACTTCTTCAGTGGAAACGGGCCTATTGAGTAGTGTTGTTAATGTGCTAAGTGGCTAACTAGCATCTTGAATCCGTCCTGTCGGTCTCCCGGAGTTATTTCCTCTCACGATGGCACAGAACAGTGCTGGTTGTCTGTCGGCTGTAGTTTCTGGGGGTTGTTCAAGTGCAACTTTTTGGTTGAGATACAGGTGACGTAAGGTGACCCAACAGTTGGCTTTCGTTATTGCTAGTTCTTAGATATAAGTTTGGTGTGTCTGGGCCTTAATGTTACAGCTCAGCTGAGGAGGACGCCATTATTGTTTGGATTGCACTTTTACGAGCGTGAGTCTCTTGTCCCTGAATAAATGCAGGCTTTCCTCTGGGCAGTGACAGCAGGCCGAGTGCCATCTAGTTCCATTATATTGGATCGAAGGCAGACATCTCTATGGCCAATATCTCCGACACTTGGCAACTCACACCCAAACAATCTAGACTGATAAACAGCACTACAGGTGAGAGGAAAAATATCTGTTTTTGATTTTGGGGTGAACTGTCCCTTTTAACCTTTCTCAGAAGTGTACTGAAGAGTCCACATGCAGCGGTTAAAAATATGGATGATGTTGTTTGTGGTTTCATGTCACTGATCTGCTAATGGTCTTTGGATGGTAGGAACCCCTGACTTCATATCACTTGCATGATTTAATATTGCCTCATAACTTTCCTTCAGCTATGCCAAAATGTTAATGAAATTGATCTTTGGCTGACTTCTGTAGCCCATTAACCGAATGATCTCTGGCCTGTTTTTGAGCAGAGATTAGAAAGACACTATAGCTTCTGCTTAATGTGTGTGTGTGTGTGTGTGTGTGTGTGTGTGTGTGTGTCTGGTTATTTGTCTGCCCTCACACACAGCATTAATCTACATGTGGTACGTGAGGGTACAAAGTTGTAATGTACATTGTAATGCCCAAAACAAAGAAACCCTAAATTCTAATCTTAGTCCAAAGATAATAAAGATATAATTTTTAAATTGGATTTAAGGCCAGCTTTGATCCCTTTGAACCAACAAACTGGATTTTTCCACTTGAACATCAGACTCATTTAATCAAATCATGTGGGCCTGCAATACGCTGTTCATCATTACTGTTCATTTATTAACCACAAGCAACCAAATATAATGCGACCGCTTCATGTACTTAATAAAACAGAGTGTATCGGTCTGTATTCTGCTTATTTAGAGGCCTGCAAGTGTGCAACAGTTTACTGATGCAATATTAGCAGTTCTTTTCAAACATACTGTCACACCACAGAAATGGGAATGTGCACTTACCTCGCCTTTAGAGAATTTGATACTTGGTAGTGTTGGAAGACAACCATTCACTGCCAACTCCAAAATACTTCAGAGGTGAAAAGAGCCCACTAGAAATTTGTTTTAAAGCTTTTCTCAGTTTTAATGCGTCACAAGAGTTCTTCAGTATATTGAAAACCGTGCAGCATGCTGATCAAGTTTCTCTTTTTTGGTATTCTATTAGCAAAAGTTGTTGATAGCACCTGGTATTTGTTTTGGTACCACCTTGATGAAGGTTTACATGAGCTGAGCTGATACAAGAAGGTGGATTTAAACACTGCAGACAGCTGATCAGAGAGAATTGTCACTCGGATTGTAACTTGGGTGACAAGGAACATTCAGCGCGAACCTGCTATTTCTAAAAAGCCAAGCTAACGTTAACAGCGACCGCAATTTTTTAAATTCATTCGACTCACATTTGCAAAAATGTAAGCCCACAAAAGTGCAGACTTTGTTGTTGATGAAAGGATTCAGCGAGAGTCACGCTGAAAATTATGTCACGGCAGTTTCATGTGGCAACACTGAGGGGTTACTATCTGTGCGATAGAAAACAAAATGACACATTTTGCACTAAAAAGGCTGTAAGCTACATAATAATGCATTATATGTATCATACAGTAACCTGCATTTGACCATTGGCCGCTGGGAGGGCAGCTGACCACTGTACCCCCTCGTCCATTTTCTATTTGATCATTTGTGACCTTCTGATTGGCCACTACTTGGCACAGTAAATGTGATGTCTGTCAGCCATTAGGTTACTGTCAGGAGGGGCCTCACCTTTCTGATCTGCTTTCCTGTGAACAGAGAATGTGGATTTGACTGAGCCACCTGCATATTTGGTTGATGGTGTTTACTAAATTTCATACAGATCCCAATAAAGCACCTCTTGCATATATGATCATGTTTATAAGTTAAATATAGTGCAAACCATTTTCAGTTTTGTAGCCTCATAATATAAAAGTGAAAGTGAAATTACACAATTCCATCCTCACATGAGATCAAAACTTTAATCTAACATTATTCCTTCATGCTTAACAGCCCCTCCCTCCAGTCAATCACTTAATGGCAATATGTTTTTGAAATTCATGTGCTAAGTCTGAACTGGATTATGTGCGGCCAGTTGAACAGGGGAACCACAATAAACTTGTCATTTACTGGACTGTATTAAATGGCCTTTAAAGAGCAGAAGACTAAGTTGTGCAATTTATGACTGCTCCTTAACACATAAAGCTCCAGCGAGTGACATGATTTTCAGCAGGAAATTAGGATTCTTATGCATTTGTAACACTGTGTTAAGGACACAGAAGGGAACATCTGTTTTTCTGATTACGCAAGGTTCAAACCACAGCCCTATCAGATCAAGCACCCTTTCATCAGCAGCACCCGTCATGCTCCAGATGTGTTCATATCAGATGATTTTAACTAGGATGTTATTTAACGCTGTTAGTTATATAAAAGTCAATATTTGTGGATTATTCAGGTTCAATGCTGTTATTCTAAGGGTAGAAATTCTAAGGCTCCAGTAATATTACTGTATTTTTATATAATTGAATAGTAGTTAATGATTAGGTCAGTTTAATCAAGTTTGCCTTGCACTACTACTTGGAGTGGCAGGAGCTGAGTCTTTTAGTTAGCTAATGCTACTTACCATATAATTACTTTAAGCTGTCTAATTCAACCAGTTATCACTTACTTGTAGCTATATTTTAACAATCTCTTTAGCTAACTATTGAACCATGATGATCTGATCCCAACGCTGTGCACGGGAACTGCACAACTGTAATAAGAGGCTATCTGTCATGGTCCGTCAACTTTGTCAGTCTTTCATGCTTAACTTTATTTTACAGAACCGGTTTGCATCCCAATTACTAGAAAAATGTTGACACTGTACATTTGTGTATGTATGTATGTTCATTCGGATATGTTACGTTTGCACGTTATTATGTAGCAGAACTTTTTATTTCAACATTGCTGTAATTAACGTGTGGTCAGGTTTAGGCACAAAAAATAACACTTAAAATATCTGGTTTTGGGGGCACAATCTTCCTGCTAGAAAAGCAGCGATGTCTTGATAAAGAATATCTGCTTTTTGTGGCACTATCTTTGCCGGAAAAACACCAATGTTTGTTGCCTAAAAAGCTGCTGGAAACACAGAAATGACTTGTGAAATAATTTCCAGTTTTGTTGTTCGCTGGTCTCAAACAGTGGTCTGCAGCGTAGCAGGCATCTTGGTGTCACAAGATTAGATAAAATGCAGGTAAAGGTGATCACAAGTGGTGTAGACAGGATGTTAAAAGACAAAATAACGTAGTTGTTGCACTTCCTTGATGCAGAAACGCATGAGGTCAATTGCAGTGCCATGTCTTTATAATCTGTCACTGCCGTGGAGAAAAGCCACAAACTGTGACTGTGGTTTGAACTTTATTGGCCATCCTAAGCTCTTCTCGGTGCATTCTGTGATCCACCCTGTGGAGCTTCTAATTCAGTGCAGCATGGCTCCTGATCCTTGCCCACATCCTTCCCTATCTGGATCCCAGCTGCTCGTGGGGCCCAGGCACAGTCCTGGAGAGGGAGACAAGGAAGTTTGAGAGGGAGAGAGCTGCTTAATGGACACCCAGTGAGGTGCTCATCGGTATTCCAGTCATGTTGTCACCTGAGTGGAGGATGGGAGGGAAACTAAATGAGTCTGCAAATTCCCTGATTTGGTGCAGAGTAGCAGGTGAGAGCGGAGAATAGCTCCCTTTTGAAAAGAAATGAAAGAAGCCCTGAGAGAAGAAGCCGGTTTTAGAAGTCTAGTTGATTTCATAATTAGAAAATAATTACTGTTTTGATTGCAAGAACCTTTTTACTGTGTAAAAATCCAGGAACAAGTATAAAAGTAATGGCCAAGAAGAAACATTTCATACATTTTAAATATTGTATGACTTGAAATTATTAATTGATGGACTCATTTCAATTATGTCTGCACAGTTTTGTAAGTGTATGTGTGTGCATGGTGCAAAGGGCATATTCTTAGCTGCCACTATAAGACAGAGCGGGCAGCTGGGGGGGGAGCATCTCTGGCTCTGGCAGTGTCAGCTGACCTGCCTGTCAGCGCTGCCATGTGGGAACGGAGCCGTCAAAAAGAAACTCACTGAAGTAAGGCATGGTATATGTGATCCATACCAGTGCAGCAACCAAGACAAATACAGTGCTGTGTGTTTTTGCAACTCTGCTCCTGTTAGTTACAGTGAGGGCATGAACAGCTGCCTGCATGCTTTGGGCTGTGTGTATTTAAATTAACACTTGTGTCTTCGAGAAGCTCTCATCTTAATTTGGAGGTATCAGATGACCGAGAAGGCACCACGTGTTTGGAAAATCTTTGGGCCTTTTCTCCTGAAACTTTTTTTTTTTTTTTTAGTCAAACTTTGCAGCAGTGATGGCGTGCTCTGAAGGCTGCCCTCTGCTGTCAGTTAAGGCTCTGTGTGGTTTAAACTGTGGGAATAAACTCAGAGAATGTCAGGTAGGCTGCCGCTACTGTATATCCCTGTTCACAGTGAGGCTGTGTTCACTTCTGTTTGATTAGGTACAGGTTTGCTGCTAATATTTAATTGGCATTTGTCATAGATGTGGGTGGAGTGAACCACTCAGTCCAGTTCTGTGTTGCTTTGGTAGGTGACTGTTTCCACAACAATTAGCACTGTGTTGGTGTGTGCTATTCAGCACTGATATTTTTAAACTTTTGATTGTGCAAATTACTCTCCTTTCACTACAGTACAGTTTCCTTAGCCATGCTCATTTATATGTTTGGACTAGCTCGTCTTTATTTGTAGTGCTCAAATGTAAGGCTGCTCAACATGCAAAAGCAATAATATGATTATTTTGGAAGCGATTTTAGGGGGAATGGTAATTCTTGCATAATTTTCACTAGGAAAAAAAAATAAAAATGATGGTGATGATGATGTGATTTTTTTCCTGGGGTCTGTACCAAACACGTATGTTCTCTTATTTCTGGTATATGATATGTAGGCCGCACCAAAATGTTTGTTTATAATAGAATATTGCGACATATCTTACTTTTGTCAGAAATTGCAGCTCCTGCAATATTGCGATTGTGATATTGTTATTAATTGTGCAGCCCCACTAAAAAGAGCTGATTGTTAACAACACTTAAGGAAATAAGCATACATGCTTTCTTGCCAACAGTTACGAGAAGATTGATATCGCTCTCATTTGTCTATTAAATATGGAGTTGCTGCCAGTTAGCTTAGCGTAGCAAAAACAATCAAAACAGAGGCTAACAGCTAGCCTGGCTCTGTCCAGAGTTAACAAACTGCCTACCAGCACCACTAAAACCCACTAATTCACATGTTATATCTAGTTGGTTTGATGTAAAATATACACATTGCGGTTTTACAAGGGGTTATGTGCCACGCTATTTCTTAGCCTTCTGGAGTTAGCCCACTGTGTACAATTAAACCAACAAGATATATCATACTAATTAATGAGCTTTAGACCTGTTGGTAGGTGGGTTTTGACTCCTTTGGACAGAGCCACACTAACTGTTTCCCCCTGTTTCCAGTATTTATGCTAGGTTAGGCTAGCTGACTTCTGCAAATTTGTGGGCTTTATATACAAAGATGGAGCCAGCAGCTGGTTAGCTTAGCTTAGCTTAGCATAAAGACTGGAAACAGCTTGCCTGGCGATGTTCAGTGACTTCCAAGAGTCTTGGTAAAGCTCCAAGGAAACTATATACTTGTTAAGCTCCAGAAAGTCTCTGTGACAGACCAAGAGATAACTCCAGCATGTAACTCCCTACAGAGTGGTGTAGAGAATGACTCCTAAAAATTAGCACTGATTAGCATTAAAGAATAAAAAGAAACCTGTTGGTTCTAGCTTTATATTAAATGTACAGACTACCTTCTCATGTAGTACCATTATGTCCAAATCACAAAGCTAAGCCCTGGATTTTATATTATTTTTATTGCGTAATACTTATTGCCTTTATGAAGGTGTTCCCTTCTGTGTAAAAATATTCTGTTTGCTGAATGAAGTTTTTTAAATTAATTCTCAAGGTGTGACTCGATCAGTATCAATTTTCTTATCCATCTGTAAACAAGAAAACAAATTTCCCCCAAATGTTGAACTACTCCGTTAAGGATGTTGGTAGTAATTGTCATCTTTGTTATCCACAAGTATGCTCTGAGGAGGGTTTATTATTATTATTATTTTTTTAAGATTGTATTCCCCCATGTCCCACAGGACCAGGAGGAGGAGGAGGGTGTGTCTCGGGTGCGAGTGACCAGCAGGAGGAGCCCTCACAAAGTAGAGCGAGTTTCTGGCTTGGTGACTGTGTCTCATGTCGACATGCCAAAGGTGAGTAAAGCAAAGCAAAAATTAGTTTCCCAGGAGTCTCCTGAACACATTGTCTCCTCAGAGTCTATACAAGCACCAGAAAAGGCAGCTGCTACTAACAGAGGCAGATATAAATGAACCTGATGATATTAAGAGAAATCACAGAAGTGCCCCGGCATCATAAAGAAAGAAAGAAAGAAAGAAACAAACAAACATGTGTTCCTGTTCTTAAAGGTTGATAACCTGTGGAACATTTTATTGTTGTTGACACATGACTGCTTAAGCACAAAGCAGTCCTCGGAATCCAGTAATTGATTTCTAGAGATTTGTTTGATCAGTTTAAATAGATTGAAGGTGCTAATTATCCGTGTTGATTGTTGTGATGTTAATATTTGATGCTAAAAATAAACATATGTGATTAAGTTTTTCGTCAGCCTGTCAACACCTACATGATAATTTGCATCTATTATGCTCAGAAAGATCATAGTAATTAATAGTATTTAGGCTTTTAATCATACCTGGACATTAATTATGTGATACTTTATAAATATTTTGTCATATCTGTCTTTACCTGCAGCTGTAAATCACTTAAACCCTAATGTACTGGTTTATGGTTTACCATGTCGAGGCTCTTGCTGCTGCTCTGCGTCTAAGATCAGAGATTTAAAGGAATAATTCAACATTTTGGGATTTATACCACTGTCGTATCTGTGTAGTAGAACAGGTATTTTTCCATTGTTGGAAAAATGCATGACATAGCAGTTTTTCCAAATCTTTCAATGCCAAGGGCTACATTTCAATGTTTCTGTTGGGCCCTCATGACAAGGCTGTCACGGCATCTGAGTAAACTATCCCGCAAGAAAGAGTTGGGCTCTATTGGCTTGTGACTAGGGCAGCCAATGGTTTGGATACAGCGGCCCTCTGTACTTTGAACAGATGGCTTCAATACTGTATAGTGACTGATCTGCACCTGCACAGTGAAGTATGATGTGGAAAAAACATGGATATATGGGAAATCCATGCGTCAATGCATATATGACCATTCTCTCGCAGTCACATGGGCAGTAATTGGATATCTATCGAATTTAGGACCAAATAATAAAGTGGATCAGATCTGATTGTCCACACCACACTGCAAAAAATCAGATCTGTGTTACATGGGAGCAAAAAAAAAATCAGATTTGGGCCACATTTGCTTGTAATTTGAGCGTAGCCTTTGTTGCTTTAGGCTAACTGTGTCCCTCTGTTTCCAGTCTTTATGTCAAGCTAAGCTAAGCTAACCACCTGCCGGCTCTAGCTTTATATTTAGCGCAGAGACATGAGAGCGCTATTGATCTTTTCACCCAACTCTTGCCATGAAAGGGAATAAGCATATTTCCCAAAATATAAAACAATTTTCTTCAAGAGTGGTGGTCAACCTGCTGCTTACATGAGCAGCAGTCATGACAGAGACATGTCTCATAGGCTAACCGTGTTCCTCAGTACGGTTAAAAGCCCTTGTGTTCACATGCCTTCCCCATTACAACACGGCCAGTGGCACATGGCAGCACAGTGGCCGCAGGCGTTGGCTTTTCAGCTGAGCCCAGAACTAGTGCAGTGGGTGGGGGGGGTGGCGGGTGGAGGTGTGAGGATCAGGGGGGGTTTGGAGGGGGTAAAAGAGAGGGAGATGCAGGCTGTAAGCACATGGATTCAATGTGCTCGTATGATAATGTCTGCATGAGGATACGGTGACAGTACAGGTTGACTCTGGATAATATGAAGCTGGCTGTGTGCGTGTGTGTGTGTGTGTGTGTGTGTATGTGTGTGTGTGTGTGACTCCCTCTATCACATGAAGGAGGGAGGTGAGGGAGCAGAGGAGGCGCAGGGAACAGGAGGGAGGGAGTGAAAGGGGGGGTGTAGAGACGAAAGATATAGTGGGGGAGGCTGGAGAGAGAGAGAGAGAGAGAGAGCAAGGCGGCTGAGAGGCGAGGGCCGGTGCAGTGCAGAGCTGGAACGGACACCCAGAGCTCAGCCTTCCTCGGGTTGCCATGGAAACCACATTCCTCCCCCGCCTGCATCCCTACAGACTGCTCTGACTCTCTCTATCTATCTCTCTCCTCGCTTCTCTGTTTTTCATCCTGTCTTTTTCATTCCTCTTTTAATTCGTGTCTTTGTTTTGTTGTTGTTTTTTTCTTTCTCCCTCTCCATCTCTCTCTTTCTGCTCTGCTTTTTTACACTGTGCACGCATCGAGCACAATCGTGATGATGCACACTCAGCAAGCACACTGATTTCACATGCGTTGCTCTCTGTGACAAGGTGAACGGGTAATTACACAGAGTTTATTTTGCATTCCCATACACTCGCGGACACATGAGCACTTTGCCGTTTTCCTCGCCATCTCTCTATTTTCTTCTATCTATTTTTATTCCCCCCTTCTGTTCAGCACCATGCTTCAGTAATGCCCCCTCTAGTCATCGCATTTCTGCCCACACATAGGGCACCTTAGCTTCGTTTCTCTACGGTTGTGGCGTCTGTCGTGAACCTGCAACACCTTCATTATATTCTATCAACTGCCTTCGCCTTCCTGTCAGTTTCCGGCTCGTCTCTTAATCTCCTGCTTGCACTCCGTTTCATAGCTCTCTTTCTTTCTGCTTCTGCATGTACAAAATCTAAAATGCTGTTCCTTAGCCACGCAGCTCTGATACAATCTCCCACTCTTGCCATCTTGTATTCCTCATTTTGCTCCGTGTGTATGCTTCTCTCTCTCATTACTCCATCAGTTGGAGGTACTGTGTTTGGTGTGTGTGGTGAAGCAGCAGCTGTTCTCTGCCACTGAGGCCTATTAATAGGAGTCTTAGCCGTTTAGCCTTTGTTTTCTGCGTCTGTATCGCTGGGAGAGCATCGTGGAGGCTCCTCAGCAGATTACATTGGCTTTTAGTACAGGACTGATAAGTGTCTTTTCAGTTTTCTGTCTTGGGGTCTCTGTCCCTTTGCCATGCACAAACCTCCCCCACTCCTCTTGCACATTCACACTTCACAAAGCTATGATTCACTGAGCAGTGGAAGCCATCACTGTTAAGATTCACCTAAAGATTTAATCCTTTCAATACGTGGAGGAAACAAGTGGATTCTGCTAAGATGCATCAATGCCTGAGAGAGACTTTTAAGACTTGCTTCCTCACCCCCCTCTTGCAGTTAGTTAAGGCTACAGTAGAGCAGCTTAGTACGTACTGATATGGAGCTGCCTCTTTAAGACTGCCTCACTACCGACTGTCCTTTTATGGTGCTGCATCCGGTCAGGTGACAAAGGAGTAGTCGCACAGCTTCTCTGAGAAATGCCTAGAAATGACTGAAAAGCTCAATACATGGTGTGTGCTGTGGTTGGGGGGGTTGTAATGCTCATTACGATAGCATGTGTGCGTGTGTGAGTCTGTGTGTGTGTGTGTGTTACAGGGTGTCCAGGTGGGTTTATGTAATAAGGGCCGTGCAGGCTGATGCTGAGCTGATAGTGTTGGGGGAGCTGCAAGGTGGGATGCGGTAGAAGCATCTCTGTTGAAAAGCGCAGGATAATTTCCTCGTTCATGCCATAAATCACAGGTCCATCTTTTTCATTTGTCAACAGGAGGTCAGAGGTTACCGCTTTCATTTCACAAGATAAATCACCTAATGCTGTTGAGCCTCTCCAGTCCGAGCAGTTTAATTGGGCGCAATATTTATCAAGGACCACATACGCAAACACATCTCACTCATGCATGAATGTATACACACATATACTACTTGTGCATCGATACATGCTAGAGCAGTGTCTCTTTTTTATACTGCCATGAGGCCGACAACATAGCTATTCATCTGGGTTTACCAAAGCAGAGTTGTTCTTGTTGTATTTCCTCCAGGATAGTTATTAAATTTGGTAAGAGTCAGAGTGTAATTACAAGCTAACAGTTCAATCACACCCTGCTGTGAAGTGTTGTTTCTGTGTTTGTGACAATTCACTGTTTCAGTAATTATGACAAAAATGTTTTTCTCGCCTCTTTGAGAGCAGAACGCCTGTGTCCACATGTTAGGAGGTAAACTAAACCACATTTCTTTGATAGTTTTACATTCTCTCCATCTCTGGTATTTATGTCCAGCCACTAAAGAAGTGCCGGTAACTGAATATTGCTTTTTCGGCTTGGCACTGTGTCACAAATGAAAAAGCTAATCTTATATAGGTGACAGCTTTATGATGTTATAAACTGCAGATTAAATTTGACAATATTGTGTAATCTAATACAAGGACGCTGCAAACGACAAACCTGAAAAATAATAGTGTAATTGAGTCGAACCAAAACTTAGGCTGTGCAGTCGCGACAAAAATTTGACATAATCTGCACAAAGGTTGTGTTTACTGCAGGGCTGTGGTGTTTGATTACACTACATTGTACTAATGTGGGTTTAATGCCATCTGTGTAAGGTTGCAGTTGCCTTGATTCCACATAATCAGCTCTCTACTGAAATGTTCACTTTTAAAGAAGCTGAGGTTAAGAGGAATTAAAACAGAATGTCTAGTTGTCTTTCTCCACAAAATTACCTTGAAAATGGAGCTGTCTTCCACGACATGTGCACCAACACTACATTAACATTCAAGACCTTTTCTTTCCTGTAATAGCTCGGATGTGATTAGTGCATATTAACTTCCTGTATTCCTCTTCCTGCTCTCCTTGTGATACAGAAAACCAGTGATTGATTGGCTCTAAAAAAGACCTACCAAATTCTTTATATATTTTATATTATGTAATATTTAAAGGGAGAGGTTTCTTTCCCCTTGAGGGACAAAATACGTCTAGTTCATATCAGGGAGATGTGTGTGCGTATGTGCACGCCCACCCATACAGATGACATATCTGTGTCCATTCAGCACAGGGGATCTTTCTCTGTCTGTTTCCCCTGCCTCTATCATGTGTATCCTGCTTCATTCCTTCATTTTGTGCCGTACAGTATGTTTTTTTTTACACTGCAAACCCTCTGTGTGGTGAATGCGATGAGGACAGTTTATAAGAGAGACGGAGCGAGGCTTGAGAAGGATGGTTGCAACATGTGCTCGGTCATGTGTGCTGTGATCGATATGCTTACATCGTCCTTTCAAGCCGCTGCGTGGAAGCCCCGCCTCGCCGTTCTGATTGGCTTCAGCAGGGTTTGTGGCTGCATCCGACAATCTAACTTGAGGCATTCAGTGGTTTCTAGCCTCTGTTTAAAGATGCCCAAGTTGCTCCTCTTTTTTTTTTTTTTTTTTTTTTGCTCTCTGCTTGGCAAATCTCTGTCGGTTACAGTGAAAGAATAT